AATACAAATAATATATTGAAAAGTAATTTTCCATTACGACATAACAGACATTGACAATTGAATAGATGATGCATGAATGATTATGAATATTTATAAGGACACTAATGAATATTCATGATGACTTGCTAAAGACATATTGCACATATAAAAGATTTTGTTTCCTTTCATGTACTTTCCCTATTTTCCTAAATGAACCGACCCATTCTGTGGACTGATACTACTTCATTGAAGGGGTCCTATTCACTGCATTTGAAGCTATCCAATCATGAGGACAAGTCTATTTTGGTATGTAAGGGGGAGGGGGAAACTGTCAAATTATTCTATGTAATATAAAAAAGATATCATTTCCTCTTCTTGAGGGACCCTCTTCAAACCTATGTTCTCACAATGGACTGTTCCATTAATAAAAGTGCATCTGGTTTATGTTTAAAAACCCCATCTTTCCGTAACTCATTCACCCCTGAAATTTCATAATGAATTATTCCGACATTTGAATTGGAGGAGTTTAAAATGTGTCTTCAGGGATGAAAGAGTTAATTCCTTATCAATCAAATATTTTGCTGATCTCTGTGTCTCAGCATCTTGGTAGGTCCAGAATGGAATCTCCTATGATTACTTACAGATCAGTCCAATGTCAGACATGGGGATGAAAAGGATATGACACAAACATGAAAATAAAACATATGTATGGTCCTGCATGTTCTACTATAAACAACAGCTAATTATGACTGGTATCACTGTGGAATAGTTTATCATGAGGTGTTTTCAGTGTGACACCGGGGCACCTGTTCCTGTAGCACTACATGTAAACAATATCCTTCAGTACAACTAGTGTACCTGATGACCTCCAAAATGTCCAGCACTCCTCTAGTAGCACTTCCTGTTTTCAGTCTTCATCCGTGCACCAGCCATGGCCTCCACAGCCGATTCTAAACCGCCAGGGTCAGCGAAAACGTAAACCTGGTCATTCGTGGTCATTGCTGACCTGCTGCATGGTCAGATTTGACCTCTGTCCTCTCTTTCGGGCTGAAGTCGATGTCAATGTTACGAAAAGCAGGATAGCTGAAGACCGATTTCTCACGAGAAAAAAAATCCGAAAATAAGGTTGACACTTACTAATTATTCATAATTACTTTTATGCCCAGCCAATCAAATCACCGCACCGGGTCGACTCCTCCATGGAGAAGAATAGGTCACGAAATTGGGTCACATGATTCAGTGAGACATGCATACACACAAGTGAGAGCTGTTATCCATTCTCTATGTTACGGACTTCCCACTAGTAGCTAGGTCACAGGTCAAGTGGCACTGAGATGAGAACTCTTCAGGATTGAAAGTTACAAAAGGGCTCCTAGGCATGCTGAGAGAACTGAGGTTGCCAGGGCAACTACTAGGTTAGTGTAAGACACCAACAAGACTGTGGCTGAGTTGACATAGCCGCTTTTGGGCACTGAAAAAGCAAAAGAAAAAACACGTCACTGAGAGACACCACCACAAAGATAAAAGGTGCAAGCTGTTAGAGCATGATATCCTACAGCCCAACCAATCACAGGCATTCTTACATCCCTCAGCTATGTAAAACACTCAATGATTGGTTTAGACTGGATTTACCAACCAATCACAGAGGTTCTTACATCCCTAGCTATATAAGACATTTTACCCCGACATCTAAAATTTAAGTTATATGACAATAATAAAAGGACATTCTGTGCGTATCCCATTCAAATATCTAATCCATAGAGGCTGATCTCCTTATCGTAAATTTGGGACAGTCGTCACTCAAATTGTCACAAATATTAATAAAATAACTTGACGACTGAAAGAAAATAGGTCACTTTCTTTGGAGTTTTTTTATAGACCTGAACAATTGTTCCCAATCCTGGTAATATCGACCAAGTATCATCAAATGGTGCGTACCAATTTGGACAGAGAGGTAAGACAGCTTCGGTAAAATAACATGTTATACATTACGTGAAGGTAACACTTTTTTTTACTCCAACAGAATACAGATTTCTCAACTTGGACTATGTTTCCAGGATATTTTAGAAAACAAATTGGAAGAAGCTCTTCTAGGCCCTTCTTGTCTTCTAATCCCCCCAACTACACAAGTGTGACCCTCCCCCTCTGTGCAGGAATCTAAGACTGGCAAATCACTGGATTGGGCATGCTCCAACAGCTAACAGAGATGTGCAAATGATACAGGGTATACTAACAAGGCACACATATATAAAACATGAAATCATAGTACAGCATACATACATAGCACTGACTGTTAATCAAGATTTTTTTGTTTTTTTATTTTTCATTTTGGATATTGTTCTTGTTCCGTTTTTTCTACATCATAAGAAGCTACAACCGTCTTGATTTGAACATTCAGGCTAAAAATAAATAAAAATAATAAATAATGCATAAATAATAAGCACAAGAATCTTTGTTGTGTTTTACTGTGAAAACCTGTATAACAAAGTCTGCCCTCTTCTATACTTAACCCCTTCACCACTGTAGACCATAATGGACTCCTCCAGATCAATGCATGGGAGAGTCTACTAAAGTTGCATAGGGGTGAAAGGGTTAAAGAACCTTCCAAACAGAAACTGTTTCAATGTGGACCTGAACTCTGGGACGATGGAAACAGGATGTTTGATATTAGGACAGTCCAAGTGAAATGTTTGATATTAGGACAGTCTTAGTGAGACATTTGACATAAGGACGGTCTTAGTGGGACCTTTGACATAAGGACAGTCTAAGGGGGATGTTAATGGGACCTATGACATTAGGACAGTCTTTGATATAAGAACAGTCTCAATTGGCACTAGGACAGATTTAGTGGGGCCTTTGACATAAGGACAGTATAAGTGAGATATTTGAATTAGGACAGTCTTAAGGAACATTGACATTAGGACAGTCTTAGTGGGACCTTTGACATTAGGACAGTCTTAGTGGGACCTTTGACATTAGGACAGTCTTAGGGGGACCATTGACATAAGGACAGTGTAACCTTGACCTTTGGAGTGACAGTTGAACAGTGTTCTTTGTAACAATGTCATTATGACCTTTGACCTTTGGACAGTTTCAGAATGACCTTTGACTTTTGGACAGGGTTAGCATTAACCCTGGGACAGTTTATCATTGACTTTTACCTGGAAGAAGGGTCTGCCTAGACCCCGATCTTACTACCGATAGCAAGGAAGTAACTTTTTTTATTTAAATGATTTTGTTTTATTTACAAATGTTAACATGTGTAACTTTTTGATACATGATGTTATCAACTGATAAAAGTCATTAGCAACATTACAGGAGTAGAGTTAGATAGCAAATGTTGTCAATGGACAAAATCACTCCACACTGGAATTACATCTTAGAAATGTATTTCAGGTGAGGGAATGAATGCAGACAGATAGGGAGGGGATGCAGCCAGAGAGACAGGGGCATCATTATTGACAGGTTATTGTCAGGTTTTCACAGTAAAGAGACAAAAGAGGTCGGTCTGATGCCTCTACATATCAACATGCATAACAAAAGAAATCAAGAAAAAATGCACACATAAACTGTCAGTGGTAAAGAAGATATAGTCTAATGTTCCATCAGCTATCCATATTCATTAGGATTTTGTTGTTCAAATTCTGGTTAGCTAAATGATCAGTAATGCAAAATATTCAAGTGTATTTTCAAATTTATTGAAATAAAAAAAAAATGAAATTATAACGATTCATCATCCCCATTTGCACATAGAAAATGCCAAATGGTTTGATTATTTTTTTCAGATTTTAACAACAAATTATATTTTGAAAATTCAACTTAAAAGGTCATTGAAGAAATCAGGCTACTAACAACAGGTGTTGGGATGATTACTGATGTATTCTACTCAGAGCAGTCTTCTGATTGGTCAGAATGGACAGATTCAGATTTTCTGATTGGTCAATCTAATCAGGCATATGTGAATTTCATGCAAATGCAATTGGTGCCTCTTTGTTTTGTTGGACCTTTACTGGACAACCGCCATTCATACAATGTATGATTATCAGGGGAGACAATCCACATACCGACAAAACTTCTGTTATGAGAAAGAAAATCCATGCGATGATTGTGTTCAGGTGTAACGGTTTAAAATTGTATTTCCACATGTTGGTATTAGTACAACTTATCTGTGAGATCTCCACCAAAATCCCACACATGGCTGCTGGCAAAACTTGCGAATGACTTGGTGAATATTTTAGTTATTTCTTCAGGTTTCAACATGTTTTATACCTTGCACATTTCAGCTTTCATGAAAAGATGTTTATGTAAGATATCGAGTCCATTGCTTAGTTCTTTATTCATTTATACTTTAGATACTTCAGTTTCTGCTTCAAAATGATTAATACACTCGATTCAATATTCCCATCAGATTTTGTAAATTGTCCTATGGTCTTACAAACACCAAAATCCCTGATCCTACAATTTTATCTCAAGCTTTCTGTTTTTACCCATTCCTCAACCCAACAATTTTCCATCCAAACTCTTCACAACATCTCTCAATTTTCTACAGCTTTCTTGTCCATCGTCGAAAAAAATATAATACAATACAGCTGTCCATATGTGGCTAATGACTTGTTTTCAGGTTTCATTTCCGAGTCTCGCATCCTTTTTGGGTTTTTGTCTGTCAAACATTTGTGCTAGTGACACCCCTTCAGTCAACATAAACTGCTCTGAAGAACAGATCTATTAAACATCAAAGGCAGGTCATGTCAGGTCAAGTCATTCAAAGGAGACATCAGTCAAGCGTCCCACCGTTGCCACCATTTGTTTTATCTTTATCATGGTTTGTAATTCCATGATGACTATAGAACAACAGAATTCTACCATCCAGGCTCCGAGTTGCTGCATCCAGTAATTAAACAAATCCAAAACAATCTAGAAATGACCGATACACACAATTTACAACACAATCACTGCCTTTATATTACATGTACACAAACATCTATGAACCAAAATTTCTGGCGTAAGCCACCAGGTCTTACCCTCCAATGCAGACTTTGCCATCTCTGAGTGAGTGTGGTAAGAATGAGTACAGGTTAGTCATAAACGACGCTGATGTAACCAAACGGAGACAACTCTAGAATGCCTTTGAAATGTTTACATCCATGGAGTATAATACCGTAACTACACTGAGAATACTGATTAAAATATAACTCTTTAAAAAGCTCAGATTTGAAGACAACATCATCCAGAAAACCCTGGTCAATATTTGTAACCGAGATGACTTTTTGGATATCCTTCAGCAACGTTGTCGATGCAATGACAAATTTTCTTCATAATTGAACAAACTCTCCTCATCACACTTATCAGGGGAGGTAATTTCTAATTTCTTAAAATAAAGTGGAGATAACTCTCCAGGATAATATACGTTACAACATTTATGCTTATCCAGAACTCTGAGCAACACTCACACTGAGGAACCACATCTCTCCTAATAACGAAGTGTTTTCTTTTGATCTTAGATGAAAATAAATAACTCATCCTTGTAATTTTTTTCTGATGAATCTGCTTCATTTAAGTATTTCCAAGGGAGACAATCTATCCTATCACCATTTATTATAGATAGTAGAGATTTGTTAAGCCTGTATGCAGTGAATGGGAAGAGTAGCTCCCCCTTGGTACTTTTTAAGTGACATATAAAAGAGGGGGGGGGGGAAATCAATTAATTGATAAATGCCTTCTCATTATGACTCACAATTACAGTAACATGCCATAAGTCTTTCATGTAACTTTATTTTCCCATTGGATTCTATCTATCTCAAGGCTGACAGTGCATGTTAAAAAGCCTTCAATAGCTTTTTTTTTTTTTTAAATATTTTTTCTGGTTTTGAGATCTTCCCCATCTCCGAAGACAATCGTTTCTAAGGAACTGCAAACATTTTAGTTTGTCCTTGCTTGGTAATGAGTATGATTTGTTTTTATATTATTTTTAATTTCAATTGAAAGCTTTTTAACTTACACTGTCAGCTTTAATCTACTTCTTTTCAATCATTTTTTCTGTCTTCATTTTTAGTCCAATTTTGACAAAATTTTCTAATTCTCTAAACAACAGGGGCACTGTATCAAACTTCAGGCAAGCCAGCCTGAATAACACTGACTTTGCACAGGGGGAATTAATGCTCAACATTCATTTTAGCCGTCATGCGGTCAACATTCTTGCTAACTACAAAAGCACAACGCACAACCGTAGTCCCGCAAAACATTCCCGAAAAAAAATAATCCAACAATGCCATTTACTTACTGCTGTCTGAAGCTTCTATAGCCCCCTTCTCTAATGAGCCTGCTACTGGGAAAGGGAGATAACTCATTATATAAAGGGGAACAACTCTGTATAGACAACATGGCTGCGATTGAAGGTTTTCCACATAGCAAATAAATCAAATTAATAAAGCATCTATTTATAGCAACAACTATCTCACTTACAGTGTTTCCCTTGGTAAACATTTAGTCAATTCACAAAATATTTTCATTTTAAATGGCAAAAACAAACTATCCCACATTTAGTCAATTCATATAACCACATAACATTTTCATTTTAAATGAAGAAAAAAACACCTAAATTAACAGATAATTCAGTAAATTGTGATTTATCCTAGTATCCATTGAGTTATTTAATACTTATACTGGAAGAAATCTTATTTTTAGGTGGCAAACACCATTCCTACATTCTATTGTCCATTCAAGTAAATATGATAGTATTAATCTCAGATAACTTTGTGAATTAGGAATTATAAACATGTATTTTTTTATAAGACAACTTTTAAAAAAAACATCTGTCTTTTACCTTAATAAATTCAGCAACAATACTTCAAATGGTTGCCCCACAGGACATAAATGTTATAATTCCATTATCATACATTAAAACAAATACAGAAAAGATTGAGAATTTATTTTCAAATCATTGATCCATGCAATTATTTATTGACTTGGGGATAATATTGAAAGTAAAAGAAACCAGTTCCCAAGTTTATGTAAAATGTAAAACTATAGAAATATCCTTTTATAAAATAACTTCCAAATTTCTTATTTCAGCCAAAGACAACTCTCATGGTGATTCATAAATGTCAAATCAGAATTATTTAAAAGGTCTAGAGCAGATTAAGTTGTTTCAAATTTGTATTTTGTCAACATTGAAAGTCAGCTATGATAAATGACAGACATTTTTACTAAAGTAATCTACTTTGATAGAGGAGACCAAATCACCGCTGAGAATATCTCTAGATCCAGAAGGGGTTGATCATGCGAAGAATGCTATCATACTTGGGAACTAGAGTAGCCTCCCCTGAGTACCAAATAATTTTAAGTTGATTTTCTGGAGGTTTTTTTTATCTATACATAATAATTGTTTAATGCTCACAGGAATCAATATTACTTTCTCTAGAAGGAAACATACAGACCTAACCACAATTCAGATCTGCCAATTCAACTTACATCAGAATATGTGGGGAAATTTTGAGGTTTGATAAAATAAATTGATAGCATGAATTCCAAGCATAGCTAGGTCAGCAATTGAACTAGTAGTTTTGAGTGTTTTTCCTGTGTTGTATTTGGACTTGTAAGCATTCCTAACAAAATCTGAAGATTTTTGTTTCAAATTTAAACCTAGAAGACTCACGAATATATAGATATATACAAACCTAATTTTGTCTGTACATATGTTACAAATAGGACTTGGTTTAAGATCTCTTAATCATGTTTTTTTTTAACAACTTAAGGTACAGAGTCCAAGCAATTTGTAATGTACCTCCACGATAAAAGAGTTCTAATTTGTTTGGTAATTTTTCTGCCTATTCATTATAGCAAAGTGTTCTGAGTTATTTTTAGGATGTTGTGTGTCACAATGATAGACTGGACCTGTAGTTTATAATGGAAACACTAGTATAGAGCGAGGCTATGTAACTCGCTACATGATGGAAAATGAAATCTATTTTAAAACAAACTGAAATGGTGTAGTGTGCATGAAATACTTTGTGTTGGCGAGTTAAAATGGTTGTCATACCCATTGACCATGCATAATATTATAACCGCCGTCGAGAGCATTACAAACAACTATCAAAAGTGTTGAACAACAGATATTGCAGCTATCAAGGGGAATAACTCTTATCTATACCAGGGGGCCCCACACAATATCTTGCATCTCAAGCGGAATATAACCTACAGTTGTATATAAGGATAAATGTAATATGCCTGTTAACAGTTATGTGACACCAGAATAAAAAAAATTAAAAAAATGCAAAATATGGGTACTTTTTTCCTTCCAACAGGAAAAATGTTCATGCTGAGGCAAAATTTATTTAATTCATTTAGAAGTAAAAATTGTAATTATAGTTGCTCAAATGCAAATACAAAATACGACAGAAGGAATATCCCTTTAAAAAACTCTGGGTCCCGTAATGATAGAATAAATTTTGTTGACCTCTCTCAAACTATTTACTCTTATGACAAATATAGAGAGTCCTTTTTCTGAGCAAAATAAATATTTTAGACTCATATTGTTAACCACCCTGGAGAAAATCAGATCACTGATCACAAATTCAATTTCAGTAACTTGGCAAATGTTAAAACTGCGCTTTACGACCGTTCAAAGTAATACATTTATAAAAAAAAGTAATGGTACCCTATATTAATATTAAAACGCAAATGTTATGGCCCGCCTATGAAAAGCTGAATTTTAAGGTCCATTTACAACAAGGCAGATTAAAGCCCTTCTGCGACAGCAGATTTTAATATAATCTTTGATATGGAAAATTTTATGACTTGGCAAATTTTAATAAGGTCGTCTTATGAAAAGGCAAACTTAAACTCATTCACCCCTGAAGACACATTTGAACTCTTCCAATTCAAAGGATGGAATAGGTCATTATGAAATGTCAGGGGTTGATGAGTGAAAGTGTATTATTGACCAGGCACATTTTATTTAAAGCCCTTTTATATGACAGGGCACATTTTTCAAATATTTTATGATAAGGCACATTTTAAGGCCCCTAACAAGACAAATCAGGGCCATCGAGAGCAGGCAAAATGAATAAGAAATTGAATCAAGGAGAAAGCAAATAGCAGGGAAGTTCATCATTACAGAATTTCTTACCATCTGGGTCTGATAATGATTGATCTGGAAACCATAACAAGTACATAGAAATTGACGTTTGCGTAAAATTAAGGTCAAGGGTCAGTATCCAACACCCTGACAGTGTGTTTGCTTGTGTTTTACGTCCTGTTAACAGCTATGGTCATTTAAGGACGTGCCAGGTTTCGGTGGTGGAGGAAAGTCAGAGTTCCTGGAGAAAAAACACCGACCAACGGCCAGTACCTGGCGACTGCCCCAAGTAGGTCTCGAACCCACGACCCAGTGGTGGACGGCTAGTGGTAGCAGAATGTCAGACGCCTTAACCACTTGGCTTACGAGGCCCCTGAAAATATGACACCTGATCCATGCAACAGACACTCAAGAAGGTCCACACACTGTATGGTCAGACACCATTCCTGGGAGAAACACGTGATTCCAGTATAATGTAAAACACCATTTTTTTGTTTAGATAAAACACCTTGCTTTCCTAGTCCAATACATCCAGACGCTTGTGTAGATATACAGACCAAACCTGTAAATGTTTTTCTCCAAAACAAGCCCTTGTGCATCTTGACAATTCTATCACACTGTCGGTACAACCTTTGCCTTTCACTTGTAGAAGTCCTCAACTTTGTACATTCAATTTAAGACCAAACAAAACAATAGTTTGTTTTTGAAGTTCAATCTAAAGACAAGATATAATCAACCTGGTCCCAACTTGATAAGTCAACAACTTTATTTCATTTTTCACATCCATCTATCCTAAGATATGTATAGCACAATACATGACAAACATGTCAAAAAATGATATTTCAACAATGTGCACAAAACTAAAGTTGAATTCTGATTTCTTTATAATCCTGACCTTCAATGTCTAATATTCCATCAAATCATGTTTCAGAAATTTGCAAAAGAAAGCATTTCATTATGTATATCTCAAGATGCCTCAATGTGACCTTGGGGCATGATTAAATGTAGCATACTGTCTATCGCTCAGGAAATACCTGTATAAGAATTAGCAAATCATCCATCGGATACACTAGAGAGCCATTATCTCCATATAAGACAGCCACTTTATCCCTATAAGACAGCAACTAACTTCCTATAAGACAGCCACTAACTCCCTATAAGACAGCCACTATCTCCTTATAAGACAGCCACTATCTCCTTATAAGACAGCTCATATATCCCTATAAGACAGCCACTAACTCCCTATCAGACAGCAACTATCTCCTTATAAGACAGCCACTATCTCATTATAAGACAGCTCATATATACCTATAAGACAGCCACTAACTCCCTATAAGACAGCCACTAACTCCCTATAAGACAGCCAATATCTCCCTATCAGACAGCCACAAATCCTTATAAGACACCAATATCTCCCTATAAGACAGCCACAATCTCCCTATAAGACAGCCACTATCTCCTTATAAGACAGCTCATATATCCCTATAGGACAGCCACTAACTCCCTATAAGACAGCAACTAACTCCCTATAAGACAGCCACTAACTCCCTATCAGACAGCCACAGCCAATATCTCCTTATAAGACAGCTCATATATCCCTATAAGACAGCCACTATCTCCCTATAAGACAGCCACTAACTCCCTATAAGACAGCCAATATCTCCCTATCAGACAGCCACTAATTCCCTATAAGACACCAATATCTCCCTATAAGACAGCCACAATCTCCCTATAAGACAGCCACTATCTCCCTATAAGGCAGTTAATATCTCCCTAAAAGACAGCCATTATCTCCATATAAGACAGCCACTATCCCCCTATAAGACAATCAATAACTCCCTATAAGACAGCCACCAACTCCCTATAAGACAGCCAATAACTCCCTATAAGACAGACAATATCTCCCTATCAGACAGCCACCAACTCCATATAACACAGCTCATATAATCCCTATAAGACAGCCAATATCTCCCTATAAGACCGCCACTATCTCCCTATAAGACAGCTACTAACTCCCTATAAGACAGCTAAGAACTCCCTATAAGACAGCCACTATCTCCCTATAAGACAGCCACTATCTCCCTATAAGACAGCTACTAACTCCCTATAAGACATCTCCCTATAAGACAGCTACTAACTCCCTATAAGACAGCCACTAACTCCCTATAAGACAGCCACTATCTCCCTATAATACATAGATAGTCTGTTTCTCTGTACCTCAGTATGATGTACAATACTCTGCCTTCAACAACACTAAATATTAACTACAGTCTCAATTAGAATCCGTACATGAGCCATCTTTGTTCCGCTGATAAATCTTTGTGAAGCTAATGAATATTTAGATGTAATACCTAAACCACCTATATTGATGACCTCTGACCTTACATTGTACTGATGTTGTCGACCTCTGACCCTATAAATACACTGTACTAATGTTGATGACCTCTGACCCTACACTATACTGGTATTGATGACATCTGACCTCACATTATACTGGTGTTGATGACTTCTGACTCTATAAATATACTATACTGGTATTGATGACCTCTGATCCCCACACTATACTGGTGTTGGTGACCTCTAACCCTGTACATACACTGTACTGGTGTGATGACCTCTGACCCTACATTGTACTGGTGTGATGACCTTTGACCCTACATTGTACTGGTGTTGATGACCTCTGACCTACATTGTACTGATATTGATGACCTCTGATCTACACTCTACTGATACTGATGACCTCTGACCCTACATTGTACTGGTGTGATGACATCTGACCCTACATTGTACTGGTGTTGATGACCTCTGACCTTACACTGTACTTTTATTGCCACTGTCTGAATTAAACCATTACCAGAGGACACTTACAAGCTTTATGCAAAGCAAGAGTCTTCATTGCAGGACCCAGGAAACATTAATAGTTGAAAACAATACTGACATCAAACACCAAACAATCATTAATACATTGTTAATGCCAGCTTCTGAATACATTCAGCTTAACAATGCGAGACTCTAAGCAAATCGTTCTCGTCAAACCACACACAAAACCTCAACAGTATTCATATGCATATTAATGCCGTCAAAATTTTCACTTTCCAGTTACGTTTCTTTTTACAAACAGGTGTTATCTATAGTTCTTTCATCTACATCAAACTTCCGTCTATCTACATTTATACAGGAGAAATGTAGATCCCTCTGTCGTCACAACCTAAATACTATATCTGAATTTCCCAGCAACCTTTTGCTGCGTCTTAAACCATTCTTTAATCGGTCGTTTCAAGGTTGGCAGATATGCCATAAATATCAGCCAAATATAAACACATGGACTGTTCTATTAAGTTTCCCATTGTAAAACCTAAAACGAAGATGGTATGTAATTGTTTTCATAATAAATACATACTATATCCCCTTTGGAACTTTCTTATTTTTAGAATTTTTTTATTACAAAATATTTGTTGAGATCAGATTGCAGAGTGTTATGCTATTTCGTACATAACTTATTCTGTCTCATTGTTGTTCAACTGATCCTGTAGATAGAACACCGCAGCAGTCTGAACAAAGAGCGATGCTGCATTTTACGGCAAGCACCCTACGGAATAGCCGACGATTTCAAACGAATCTCTTAAAAAATATCCCTATCTTGTTTGAAATAGAAAAAAATCATGTGTGCAACACTGAATTGTTAAACATTTTCTATCAAAACAAATTCAATTAAAGATGCATCATTAATCTCATTGAAACGAAATCAAATACAAGCAGTGTGCAAGGAACTTACTTTGTGCCATGCGGAAGATGAAGGGTTCCGGGTCCGATGTTCCCAGGAGGTTTTCGGCAGTTACCTCCACTTGGTAATATTCGCTTGGTTCGAGGCTATGGATGGTTGTTGTAGTTGTTCCCCCTGGGAGTGGATCCAGCGTGAACCATCCTGTCTTCTCCTTCGAAAACTGGTACTGGTTGTCAACCGACTTCTCGTCAAGTACCGAAACCTGATCGGCAAAAATGTAAACATTAATTTTAGACATCCCATCGTATCTAGTATTTGATATAGCGCTCTATCTAGCTAGAATAAGCCACTCTCAAGCTCTTTACAGTACATAGATAGATACAATTAACACAATCAATACAATTAAAATATACATTAAATATATATATCAATACAATTTTGAGGAATTAGCAGGAGCTGCCCGTATTCATTGAAAACATCCTGCAAAATGCACTCACCGATCAGATTTTATTAATTAGATAATTATGTATAATTCTGTTCATTGTCAAACTTGGCCTCCACCTTTATTATAAGTAAAAAAAAATTGAGCAATTAATAGGAACTCTCTGGCACGACAAGAGACAGCTGGACACCATACCATTATACAACCTGTTTTGGACAGGCATCCAATAATTTTATTCTTCAAATCCCTAGTCTAGGATTATCTCTACATATACATAAGTTTACCATCTCGGTAGATTTCAAATATCTGCACTGTGCACTGATTTTCCCTGTATTGAAGCAAAGTTCCCCTGAATTTCAGATTTGGTAATTGAATTAAATGATTTATCAAGATTCTGTATCATCAGGGCATCGCCTTCATAGGAGAGTTGTCGAAAATATGGGATACAACCTAATATTTATATAAAATATAGACTTCATTTACTTTACAGCGATTAAGAAACAAGTTATTTCAACTTATATTTCACTCTTATTAGCCCATATGTTAGTGTGCAGGGGGGCCCTAATGTGGAGGACACCAGATTACCTGGAGATAACCAGCGGGTGACCCTGTACCATTTTATGTCTGACCTGGGAGTTGAATCCCAGCCTTGGTGAAAGGCGCGTATGTTATCAATTGTGCCACCTGACCAGTCATTGTAGGGTAAAATCCCTGATCCCTGCCTTGGTGAAAGGCGAGCATGTTATCCCACTGGGCCATGTGACCAGTCATTGTAGGGTAACTCCCTGATCCCTGCCTTGGTGAAAGGCGAGCATGTTATCCCACTGGGCCATGTGACCAGTCATTGTAGGGTAAAATCCCTGAAGTGCACTGGTACTTACCCTGCGGTAGCGGATGTTGATTTTCGTGAGGGGAGAGCCACCTGTCTTTGGGATAGTCCACTGCAGCCGATACTTAGTAGATAATTCACTGTCCGGCCGAGACATGACTTGAACGGGATATGGATTTCCTAGTAAAATTATCAAAAGAAAGTGTTGTATCCCCTTGTTTTCAAAACGTCATTTCACAATATTCTAAACACAAGGGAAAATGAGATCCAACGTCTTCTAGTGAATGTCCAGTGTAGTTCGGGGTACCCCAGTTGATGGATTTTTATACGGTGTTCACTTTTCCGGCGATAGGAGTAATCAAAGTAAAACAAAAAAGATGACCAGACAACGGGGAAGTGTCAACAAATTTAATCCACAATTTTACATGTTTCGGCCCACAAGGTGACCCAACATCAGTATCAAGTTGGCAGAAACAATATCCTAAATACAAAGGATATTAACGATATGGGGCCTCAATATCTGGATTACATAGTTAAAACTACGGACTCCAGATGAACATTCTGGTGACGGCTAGCTAGGCTAGCTAAAACATGTCAATTGCTAACTAGAACTGTAAGTCAAAGGCTAACTAATACCCCCGCTCCTATATAAACCAGAACTGTTTGCTAAAGGCTTACTTTATGCAAAGCAATATAGTCTCCCACCAGTAATGAGTTATGGTAATCGCTATTTTGTTAAAAACAAAAAAAATAAAATAACAAAAAAATAAACAAGTATTTCGCACAAAGGGGCATAACTCCATCAAAAAGGGTCAAAATCCCAAATTAAAATGCTGGTGCACAACTACATACGATACTGATCATTCATGCAAAATTTCAATGAAATCCACCTGTTAATCAAGGAGGAGTTTTCCGGACAAGTTACTGCGGATGACAGACATCCAGACATCCAGACAGACATTCAGACAGACATCCAGATAGGGTGATTCCGGTGTACCATCCCCCCCCCCCTAACTTCGTTGCGGGGGTATAATAAAACTACGCAATCCATGATATAGAGCCTCAATATCTGGATTACGTAGTTCAAACTACGGAATCCAGATGAACATTCTGGTGACGGCTAGCTAGGCTAGCCAAAACATGTCAACCGCTAATAAAACTACGGAGTCCAGATGTTTATGCTTCATCTTATATATCCTGTTGTATTCACCTTTTGTGATGGGGCTCTATTGAATACTGTTTGGTATCCATCTTTGATTCCTACAAAAACGAATCTACGATCGAAGACAACCAGGACGTTGGTTCCCTGCCACTCCGTTAAAATCCCGTTTTTAATACTCTAAATATTTCATGTGATATGACTCCATATCACATCACTAACTCATTTAACCATGTGATAAGGCCATGTCATAGATATCATATCACATCACTAACTCATTTAACTATGTGATAAGGCCATGTCATAGATATCATATCACATCACTAACCCATTTAACTATGTGATAAGGCCATGTCATATATATCATATCACATAACTAACTCATTTAACTATGTGATAAGGCCATGTCATAGATATGGCAATTAACCAATTAGTCCATGAGATATGGTCCGATATAACGACCATCTACAATTGTGTACCAGTATATAGAAGAGGTTCGGGGGCCTGTATAGCTCATCAATGCTTTACTTATAAAATTACCTGGTATAGATGATATGATACTGGTACATCAAAAGTGCAAAATGCAAAAATAACCACAAGCTTGGCACACCCTACATCCATAAAATATCAAGTCTCCTTGGTCCAGAGTCCTCTTATAGAAAATTTATTTGATTCCCTCTAACAGAAAATTGATTTGTTTCCCATATTTTAATAAAGGAATAATATTTCAATTCTGTTCCCCTGTTTCCCCTATTGGGCCCCAACCCTAAGGGAGGAGCAGAAAGTATATTTATAAATCATTCCATTTCAAGGCCCAAAGAATGTTGCAAGCCGTATGCTTTATCGTTTTTTTTTGCGGCAGTTAAATATCAACTGTATTTTTTACAACAATTATGAAGCAAGTTATTACAATTTATATTAATCACTCTTGTTGGCCTGAATATTATTGTGCAGTGGTCTAAATATGAAAGGAAACCGGAGTACCTGGAGAAAACCCATGTGGCTGGGCAGGTAATCCTGTACCTTTTCACACCCGATCTTTTGCTGCAGATGAACTCTTTTGATTTTGTATTCCCTCTGGATCGAGTGCAGTTTTGTCTTGACAGCGAATATCATTCAACAGCATACAATTTACAGTAATAACACTTGAATGGAAAAACTAACACTAGGAAAATATGGAATTATACCTGTAGAGAGTTAATACTCTGACTGGGCAAACGTTTCCAAGTATACAGTCGACTTGACTTGAAATCTAATCAGTTGTTCAGGAGTTTATTTGCAAGATTCGTAGAGTCACTGACTGCTATGTAAAAACGATGTTTTTACCCAGACGGTTTCGCTGACATTCTGCCAGCTTGGTCACTGGTGACGTGAGTGATATGGGAGTTACTTCCCCTGGTTCACTACAGTCTGGGTAAGAACATCGTTCTTGAAAATATACCTAAATGAACCTTTTAATCAGTTATATATAGTTTTATTCGGGAGGTTTCAGCCCTTAGACGAAAAAATTTGGACAGACAGCAGAAGGTTTAACAACAAGCTGGAGGGCTAAGTACTTACTCATGGCTAACGTGGTGAGGGATACGACCTTTGGAAGGCTTCTACCAGCCATACTCTTCGCGTAGAAATGAAATGTGTATGGCGTGCTCACAAGCAGACTCGATATGTTCACAATGGTTGGGCCATTCTTATCTGTTATAGAAATATAACAATTATAATCTCATACAAACAAAAATTACATCTTCTTGGTAGATCTATATTTAGCTATATTTAGAAACTTTATTGATCATGAACCAGACAATATAACCAATATGTAGTATATATCTGATTGGCATGTAATTTAACTTTGACCCTGAGGTGAAGGTCACATAGATCATAATCTCACAGTTGAGTGATGACATCATGGAGTAGAGAAGATAAATACCCACGACAACTAGTGTGTGGGTATGATAAACCTTCGTTTTATGCTGCAACATAACATCCCCCCCCCCCCTATATTATAGATTATCTCTCTTTGAAAAATTCACACATTGTGATCAAGGTTATCTCTTTTTGTATGCTACACTCCATGACATGACTATGTTACATTCTTGATTCAATCCATTATAAGTCACAGTTGAAGAGCTGTTTCCCTTACTTAAAGGTATTTCAGAGACATTTCCGTTGCCATACTCGACCACAACAGCCGTCGGTGCAGGTCCATTGGTTACCGAGCCAACCTCAATACCAAATTTCACTGTTTTTGGGGTCAACTCCAGTTGGGACACTTCCCTCAGGACTGGCACACCTGTAACAATAGGGACCATCTCAAAAGTAATATCAAATCATACTGGTGGTCTCAAAAGTCATGAATAAAGACAATCAATATGAAACTACATCCTTTACATAAATGAGAAATGTTCAACATTAGTGATTATTTTCAAATATTTTTTTTCACTATATTTCCTTTTTCTATGTAATGAAAATTAAACACATTTTCAAGGACCATTCGTCCATTATTGAGATGTTACAGATTCAACTGAACAGAAAGAGTGGAACAGTATCAAGTGCAGTCGTTTAACTCAATCACCCCTGAAGACACATATGAACTCTTCCATTTCAAAGGTTTGGAATAGTTCATAATGAAATTTCTGGGGTGAATGAGATAAATCACTATTTCATTCACCACTATAGAAAATATGACAACAGACTTACTTGACTTGATGAGGGAGATGTTTTTCCGGCCCACACCCATATCATTGGTTGCCTGGCAGGTATATGTAGTATAGACTTCATTCTCATTCCCAAAGTCCACCCTAATCATCAGGAGTCCTTCACGCGTGACAGCGTCCACCTGTCGGTCAGTCTGGTCAAAGTAGCTCTGGCCCTGCTGGATCATGACATCATCACGAAACCAGACGATATTGGGGAGCGGCTCGCCAAACGTCGTACAGCGCAAAACACCGGTCTGTCCTGCCCAAGTGTAGTTATGTTCCGTCTGGTCTTTGGCAAACACAGGTTTATCTGTAAGAAATGTCAAGGGTCACAAAGATCAAAGGTCAGGAGTGTTACCAAAGGTCAAACCTAAGAAAAGTTTGTGGTAAGGCGAGTCATTTGGGCAGGGGAAATCCTGGGATTTGGTCAGATTGAATCAATTTGTATGTAACAAATTGTTTGGAAATACATTTTGTTCTTGAAATACCCTGTATCACAGTGCTTTTGCCTTTGATCTCAAGACCATACACGGAAGCTGTCTTTTATACACAAAAAAATAAGTATCTGCCTGTTGTTTGTCCCTTGGGGACCTACATAGACATTTACCTGCCAATCATTGGCCAAGATATACTACGTTAGTCCTTTGATACTGTGTAAGATTTGACCTCTGACCTTTACAAGACACACTAATGTACTAACATCTGACGGTCAGCAGGCTGCTCCCTTCGGCTGTGCCAGATTTGCCACCGTCGGCATGGCATTCGTACAACCCTGCATCGCCAGGCACCAGATTGTTGATGGTCAGTTCAGAGATGCGTTCGTTCTGCTCTTGGAAGTCGGTCTCACGAACATTAGTCTTCACAGAAACAGTGTCACCAGAATTTCCGTCCACCTTAAGACAGAACAAACAAATTCTTACTACAAGTGTACCTGTAATTGTAACGGTCTAAAACCTCTCCTGTGACATGATGAATATATGACCTTCACATCCTTTATATGTCCTTGATTTATTTTCTATGACCTTGATATCTTTCATATAGAAAATGTGACCCTGTCCCCTAAAACGTTGACAATGTAACTGGCTGCTGGACTGCATGACCTTGACATCTGAAGTATGACAATGACAACTTATAGGTGACCTTAATGACATCTGAATAACGGCCGACCTTGACATCCAGGATGCATGACCTTGACCTAACAATTCACTGCTTAACAAGTCATTTCTGTACCGAGATATTTTGGTACTTGTGTAAGACGTTTCGGTTATTCCCAAAGGATGTTTTGAAATTTCGTAAGATTTTCAGCAACTGGATTTATTTTCCACTTTGTACTTTTTACTATGCTTGACTTTTGTTTCCTGGGTGTTACTTTTATTTTTAGATTCAAAAATTTCGTCTAAACTCAAAACTACTGAAACATGTTATTCTTAGGTACAGAAATGAAATCCAATTCACTTACATCTTGATTGCCGGTGCTGAAGGAGATATCACCCTTCCGCCAAGTGACAGAGTTGAGTGGATTGCCACTAACAACACAGCGCAGTGTCACTGAGGTTCCTTCGTTAGCAGTCATGTTGTTGAGTTCTCGGATGGAAGGCGGGACTGTTGTAGTAAAGAAATCCGTTTAACATGATAACGTTCACAATGACCTATTTAAGAATGACATAACTGTGACATATATAATTCCACCAGAAACCCTGAGGGTGGAATTTCTCTATCCTACACCCTTGGGCATGAGGAAGAATTTTTCTCTCGTTCCAACTACCAAAATAAGCTCAGAAACCATGAAAATCTGTTTGGACTGGCGACCATTTTGAAAATATCAATTTTTCCTCTTGAGCCATTTTGACAAAAATGAATCTGTCAGCGTGATTTAGCATACCCAAACAAAGTTTGCGCAGAAAATGTAATGTCATCTTTCTAACGTTACGGTTATTATATCGTTAAAGGTTTTAATTTCATTACTTCAATAGAAATTTCTTACACTCCTTTCTTACCCTGGACATCTCTATCTTACACAATGAGAGAAACTGATATGCTGACCTCCTAACCACGTTTTCTTTCCTTATACTATCTTAATATCACCTTAGCTCTACAATTAACACCACTGTAAATTTGTTCTGATGACGGTAGACTGTCAACGAAAAAACGTCTACCATAAAGAAATCCTTGGTGTTGATACTCCTTCGTCTACTTTATTGAATTTATTACTCTTGGATGGAGCTCTGTTTCAATACCCTTGTGGTATCCAACTCCGATTTCTGTTTGTTCAACATACAGTTACCTCCCCTTAACTACCGTTTGGATATATCTGTAGCATAACTGGACCAGGGGCCTGTTCCTTTATGCGGATCAACCGGTTTGACAATTTTTAAATGGAACAATTTTTAGGTATAAATCCTGGCAGACCTGCAAATGTGTATGCAGGCCTTGCCAGGCTTTGTCAAGGCTCGCCTGAAAGCAGCATCAGACTACTAGGTCCGACCTTATTTAATAAACGAACATCAGTGGTCTGATCGGTTTGACCGTTTAGTCGAAAACGGCCCAGGACACTTCCGTTGAGGAGGTAGCTCAATCAGTTTGATCGATAGTAAAACAACCAGAGGTCCAGGGTTCGAATCCTAGATTTCCACTCAGAACACTGTTGTTGATTATATTTTGTTAAGTTAATCTTTATAACTTCTCATAAAAGTCCCGCAATGTCTGCTTTTCTTTTCATGAACGGTCGTCTATCAAGGCTATGTAGTGCAGACTTTGCAATGAAAAGGTGACCCTAGTTCAACCTCAGCTGTTTGCTTGGTTTTTTAAGTTATCAAACATTAAATTCCGGAAACTACTATTCCCTTAAATGCATGGCAATACAATGTATGTGTGATTTATTATGGAATATTTCATCTTAAAATGACTTGAATAAATACTTCAAAATAGTTGATAATGGTAATATTATTGTAACAGAGTTCATTTATTTTTTCAATGATCAGTCGAACCCAGGACTTCTGGCTTACTAGTCTTACACTCTACCGAATGAGCTAAAGAGAAACTCTGCCTAGCCGAGACGGTAGGAAGCAGCTAGTTATTTATCAGAGTGACATTATTGTGTAACTTGTTGGTATCCTTAACCCTAACACATTGACAATGGAATATAGATAACTGATGGTGGCAGAGGCTTTCAGTCAAACCAAGCTTGAAGTCGACTTACCCTGCATAGATTGAACTTGCAGGTAATCGAACACCACCAAACACTATTGGTTTATTCTTTTAAACATTCAGGACAACCCCGCCCCCACCCAAAAAATAATAGAAAAAAAATGACACAAAAAAAATGATAAAAAAAAAAAAAATATGAAGTTTTTTTGGCGAATTTCTTTTCGACTTACTTAGCACGTCCAGCTCTGCCTCGTTTTGAGCTTTTCCGGCATCATTGAAGGCTTCACACCGGTAGATTCCTTCATCGTCCTCAATCACTTCTTTGATAACGAACGAACCAACTTCTGCATTGATTGTGAAGCGGTCACCGTCCACCAGAGCATTAGTCTGACCGTTCTGTAACACACAATTCACAAGTCAAACATCTATTTCCTTGAGACTGTCACATGAGACTGTATAATATATATATACAACATTTGATACAGCGCCCTATCTAGCTAACATAAGCCACTCTAAAGCGCTTTACAGTACATAGATATACAATTAATACAATTAACATATACATTAATCAATTCAATTTTTGAGGAATACCCAGGAGCTGCCTTATCAGGCACTAACTACTAGTCCTATGCCACCTGGCTGATATCTCCCTATGCGTGTATATGCCTGCGTGTGTTGTAGATGTAATGTGTTCTGTTTGTATTGGGACCGTGCTTCCAACGGCATCATTTACAGTGCCACCTCACTTGAATGCTTCTGCACAGATACTGCAACATCCACCTCAGACCATTTTATACTCCACCTGGGTTATAGGAGTTGTGTGGGCAGGAGAAAAACCTTTTCTCTGAATATCTATCCATGCGTATGACGACTTGGGGGATCGAACCCCGGAGTGTTAACCACTCGACCAATCGACCCGATTGTTAACGTAGTTTACACAGTTCATGTGGAAAAAGGGACGTCAAATTCTGTTCAACTCATTTTGCCCTAAAGACACATGTGGACCTTACCAAATCAAAGACTGGGCAAGTCCAGATTAAATATGTAGAGATGAATGAATTAAAACAATGCTCTGTTAACAGAAAGTACAATTAGCCACCCTACATTAATATTCTTGATAAGCCAAGTGTATATTCTGGTGTTTGTTATTTTGTTGGAGGTATTACCTTAAACCATCGATATTTGGGTTCAGGGATACCAGTAGCTCTACATTCCATCCTCATTGATTCGCCAGTGATTGTTTCCTGTCGAGAAGGGGACTGAATGATGACAGGTTCCACTGTAAACAAAGAGAGACAATCACATTGAATCTGTAAACAAAGGGAGACAATCACACAATGATTCTGTAAACAAAGGGATATAATTACAACACATTGATCCTGAAAAAGTGGGGAGGTCAGCCCTTCCATTTGTACAATCTTGAATTCTCACTACCTAGGGATGCTTCCAGTCAAATTTGGTTGATGTTGTTTGAAGAAATTGTTGACAGACAATGAACATCACAGTATTGCATCAGCTCACATTGGTCCTTTAGACCAAATAAGCTAAATTATCCGAAAGTCTGTGTAGTATTTTTTTTTTTTATCAACTGATGACATCACAATAGGTGCTAGCCTATATTAAGTGACCCATTAAGTCAAAAAAAGTGGTCTCTTAACACAGGTGGTCTCTTAATACAGGTTCAATTCACAATGCAATCACTACAATGACGCCTTTATAAAGGTGGTTACATGGGCAGGTCTGACCAACATTTATATATTTCATATGCAAAACTATGACATTTGTTTACTCATTGAATGACAAAACAGCTAGCTTTCTATAATGCTAGCACTGCCCGTCCACGTACTCATTTACAGCTGAGTAGACTGGAACAAGCGGAGCAAACTATCTTACTCAAAGATATAACACAGTGCCGTGACTCGAACCCGCAACCCATCAGTCATGAGTTCGGCGTCCTACCACTAGACTACTGTGCCTCTTACCTGATACTACAGTATGAACACAACATTATTACAAAAATGTTTACTCAGGTCTTTTTGTCTGAACTTCAACATTTCTTCCAGACTTGATAATGTTTTTTGATACCTACCCATGACAGTTACGTTGATATTTACACTCTTGAAGGTAGAAGTCGTGCTGATCGTACATTGGTAGACACCGCTGTCGGACGTTGTAATGTTCTTAATCGCAAGGCCATTTTCGTTTTGTGTCATCCGCGGGTTATCTGAGGAAATACATGCAAAAATTACCAACCAATGACTCGGGGCAAACCATCAGCACAAAATTACTTCTGATTAAATGAACTGATCATTTTTAATAATGAATCTTAAAAACAAATAAATAAATGAATAAAAAGTAAATTGTTCACAACTTTCAATCACAACTTTTTAAAAAGATCCTTATAATTCATAACTGTAATGATCATCTAGCTGTTATTACACACTATTGGGTGAAATTTTAATCAGCATCACATTCTCATTAATACTGAAATCATGGGATAACTTAATTTAGTACATGAGGTGAAAGTCAAAGGTCAAATTGAGGTCACTTTGACCTCATTTAAGATTGTGACACAACATAGCAATAAGAAATCTTGAGAAAGATCCCTCAAGTACTTTCTGTAAAATAGCGATAGCAAATCTTAAAACTGTCCAAATCAAAGACGGCCACAGATTTGTTTAGCCAATCAGTCTCAAAAGCAAATTTGTTCAACTTGCGACCACGGGTAACTTACCAATTGAATTTGAGAAAGATCCCTAAAGTACTTTCCGAGAAATACCGATAACAAACCTTAACTGTCAGAATTCAAGATGGCCATCTGTCAGCCATCATGTTTATCCGATTCCTTCCGTAAAGCTATACATAACGATGGACAAAGGGGAACTTACATATGAAGTATGAGGAAGGTCCCTCCTGTTCTTTCTGAGAAATAGTGATAACAAGAATTGTTTGAGGACGGACAACAAACCACGTCAAAGGGCAATTTGAATAGAACAAAATGGCAGCCATCTTATTTGTTCCAATCAGTCTCAATATAAAACATAATCAACATTCTTGCCTCATGGTTATTTAGAAGAAGTTGATTAAAGGTTTTAAACAGTTTTGACCCCTGTGACCTTGAATATAATTCAAGTTCATTATTTTTTACAAACTTGGTAGCCCTTCATCCTAGCACACTACTGGCCAAATACCATCACCCAAAGGCTTTTTGGTTATTCAGAAGAAGTCATTAAAAGATTTTAACATATTTGACCCCCTGTGACCTTGAAACTGGATGAAGGTAATTTTGTTTCAAAAACCTGGTAACCCTTCATCCCAGCATGCTACTGGCCAAATACAATCACCCTAGGCCTTTTGGTTACTGAGAAGAGGTTGTTTTAAAGGTTTGAAACATATATGACCCTTGTGACCTTGAATATAAGTCAAGTTCATTTATTTGAACAAACTTGGTAGTCCTTTATCCCAGCATGTTACAGATCAATAACATTACCCTTGGCCTCTTGGTTATTCAGAAAAAGTTGTTAAAAGATTTGAACATATTTGACCCCGGTGACCTTGCAAATGGATGAAGGTCATTCATTTGAACAAACTTGGTAGCCCTTCATGCAAGCATGCTACTGGCTATAAATATCATCATCATAGGCTTTTTGGTTACCTTGAAGAAGTTGTTTATAGTAAATATTGACGAGGGCAAGTGAGCTAAAAACAGAGGATCTATCAATAAGGATGGATAGATGACGGTTGGACAGATCAGACTCATAATGGACAAAGGGTCATTTAATTTGGACCGCTCAAATCTGATGGTAACAGGCAAAGAAATATCATAATACTATGGCGTAAATGATAATTGCCTTCTGGTCTTTCGCACAAATTTGCCGAGGGTTGAATTATAAATATCAGAAATTGAATTTTGCCAAGTCACAGTATGATGAACTATCAAATATGCACCTAAATATCATAGATACAATAGATAGATTGTCAATATATTATTAAAGTATGATCAATACTCTTACAAACTAATAAAAAAGATTTTTTGTGTGGAATCCACATCTGAAATTTAAATCTTTTATTTCTTTTAATCTTTTTCAATGGATACCTGAGTTCCGCAGCAGCTTCCCAGCTGCCCCACCCTTCGGCTTCCCTCTCAATGATCTCTGACCCTGACCTCATAACTTACCGTAACGGACAGCATTTCGGTTGTTGTCTAGCCAGGCGATGGTAAAGCTAGAACCTTTCAATGAACACGCCACGGTGGCATCTTCGCCCTGGGTGAAGTGCTGCTCCGTTTTAATACCAGTAATAATAATTGGAGCTGTAAGGTGAGGGAAACAATACAGTGATATCAAACAAGAGTAAACACAATTAAATGTCTTACGCTGTTTTTATCTAAAATGTGTGCCATGTTCAATTTTATTTAGTGCTATGATAAGGAATCAAATCCTACATATGGCTTGCTTAATTGATAATAAAGAGTTATTTATGAATTTAGAATAGTCCATTAAAATATTTAAAGAGAGATAACTCTAGCCGAAAAATATGTGTATAGGGTATAAGGTAGCATATAACCTTAATATTGGAATCTTGAAATAATACACTCTCGGGACGTCTCTGACCGAGATTGGGCTACGAGTGAGGATACCAGAAATTGAAATATAGAGAGAAACAGGATAGAGAGCAAAAGAGATTCTGTGACAAAAGCAATTTGTCTTTACTATTTGTTATTATAGGCAGCATCAGAAACAGTACTGCTTGATTATTCAACTTTCTGTGTCAAATTCAACATTTAAGAACTTTCTGTGTCAAATTCAACATTTAAGAACTCTCTGCGTCAAATTCAACATTGAAGAACTCTGTTTCAGATTCACCACTTTCCACAATCATGTAAAAAAAACAAAGACATATCCCAGAGCGATTTTTGTGACCACCATCTTTAGATCTTTATTAGTTCTATTCTCCGTTGGACTGAAAGTCTTGTCTTCTGATTAAATTTGACACAGTAGCTGGGTTATGAGTGCGTCCTTTCAAAGTAAGGGAATTGCTTACTTAATGCGAAACAGCAATAACAAACTTGAACTCTCAAAATTTAAGATGGCTGCCTGGTGTCCATCTTGTATTTTCATATAGGTATTAATTGACTCATGCACTGATGTAGACTGTAGGAAACTTACATATGCAATTTGAGAACGATCTATTAAGGTCTTCTTGAGCAATAGCTATAACAAACTAGAACTCTAAAATTCCAAGATGGCTGTCTGGTAGCCATTTTGTTCTTCCAATCAAGACTCAAAATTACACAGGCAGCCATCTTGTTTTTGTGATCAATCAATAAATAATACACTGACAACTCCAGACAAAGAGGAACACATATATATATAATATCTGAGAAAGATTTGTCAAGTTCTTTTTCTGGGAAATAATGATAACAAACTTGAACTATCATTCCAAGAAGGTTGTCTTGTGGCCATTTTGTTTTTCCAATCAGACACAAAATGACACAGGCACAATTACAGACACAGAGGACCCTACATACGAGTAGAATATGTTCAGTACTTCTTCAGAAAGAACGTTAACAAGAACTGTTAACTCATTCACCCCTTTATATTGAAATTGGACTTGCCAAGACTTTGGTTTTGTAAGGTTCAAATGTTCAGATGTGACTTTAGGGGTGAATGGGTTAAGAACGGACCTCATCAGACCACGTACAACAGGCATCTGATGATAGTGGGCTATATATTCAACAGTTAAAACACAAGGCATTGATATTTTACTTGAAACACTCAGCGTGACCGTGTCTTCTTTCACTTCTGATCCAATGACGCCCTTACACGTGTAGATACCAGCCATCGACATGGTGATGTTCTCCAGCTGCACATTGAGGACGTTACGCAATGTCTGCGGTTGTAGTTTCAGGCTGTAACCAAGGAAAAACTGTTTTAATCTCATTCAGTAATTATGTAAAACATCATCAAAACCAGATGTCATATATAACAGCCAAATGTATAGGGTCAAAACTATTTTTGTCACTATGAAAGAATTGCAACTGATTGAGATTTTCACTTCCTAAATGGAACTTACTCACACAACATTGTTATTTGTATCAAATATAGCACTAACCAACATCTAAACAAGAGGCATAAAGGGCCTGTACTGCTCACCTGGATATTTAAGCAGTCATAGCAAATTATTCTCGTTAAATATTATACTGTACTGAAAATATTTCAATCTCAAACTTTGTCGGCTCAATCCGTTGAAGCTACCTGCCAGATATTATTATATGATTCTATGCTTTTGGGTTCTTCAGGAGAAGTTGTTTAAAGTGTTTTGACATATTTGTCCCTGTTACCTTGTAAGAAGGTCAAGGTCATTTTCCTTCTCAAACTTTGATGGCTCTATCCCAAGCAGCTTCAAGCGGAATCTTATGAATCCATGCATTTTTGTTCTTCAGAATAAGTTGTTTTGAAGTGTTGTTGACCTCTGTGACCTTTAAAGTGAGGTCATTTTCATTCACATACTTTGATGAGCTCTATCCCAAGAAGCCACCACCAAAATATTATGATTCTATGCCTTTCAATCATTCGGAAGAAGTCATTTGATGTTTTTGACATATTTGACCTCTGTGACCTTGAAAGTAGGTCAAGGTCAGTTTCACTTGAAAACTTCATCCACCTCAATCCAAAGAAGATACCAGACAAATATTAAGATTCTATGCCTTTCATTTCTTCAGAAGAATTTGTTTGAAGTGTTTGGCATATTTAACCCCTTTGACCTTGAAAGTATGTTGAGATCATTTTCATTCTCAAACTTTTTCACACGCAGACTTTGTCGGGCTCTTAAGAATGAAGCTTTCAGCCTAATATCATGACTCTAGGCCTGTCCATTATTCAGAAGTCGTTTGATGTGTTTGACATATTTGACCCATATGACCTTGAAAGAAGGTCAAGGTCATTTTCATTCTTAAAATTTGTTGGGCTCAACCAAAAGAAGCTACCTGTCAAATATGAACTATATCTTTCAGTTCTTCTTCAGAAGTCGTTTGAAGCGTTTGACATATTTGACTCCTGTGACCTTGAAAGTATGTTGAGATCATTTTCATTCTCAAACTTTGTCTGGCTCTTTCCCGGAAAGCCATCAGTCAAATATTAAGATTCTATACCCCCCAGTTCTTCAGAGGAAGTCCTATGAAGTTTTGGACACATTTGACCCCTGTGACCTTGAAAGTAGGTCAAAGTCATTTTCGGTCGAGCACTTTGTTGGGCTCCTACCAATGAAGCTTTCAGACAAATATCTTGACTCTAGGCTTGTCTGTTCTTCAGAAGAAGTTGTTTAAAGAAAAGTTGACAGACAACTGACACCACACCATGACATTAGCTCAATTGGCCTTCGGGCAGGTGAGCTAAAAAGCGATTTTTAAATAAAAAGAATTAAGGTCATTTAGTTGATAAAGACTCACTGTTTATCTTGTGAATTCTCAAGGATTTGATTATTGTTGGGATCAAACCACTTGAGTTGTGGATCTTGCCCATCATCAGGTCCTGATGTTTTGCAAATAAACAAAGCATTAGTCGTGCCCAGAACATCGCGGGTCGGTAATCCTTCGATGAACACATCCGGAACATCCTGACTCTGGCAATCTGAAATGAAAAAAAGGTTTAAAAAATTAAGAAATATCCTGATTTCATGGATGCATATACCGTTCTGGACCAGCAAAAATCTGAACTTCATAATGTTAACTCATTCACCCATGAAGACACATTTGAACTCTTCCTTTTCCGCCATTTTAGTATATCTGCTGGGGCGAGTCTAGTTAGGACACCTGGTATGGATTCTGGACTGGAGTTGCAATACAGAAAGTGGTTATCCTCTCCACATTATAAACTGTAAGTAGACACTTTGATCCAGTTTTTCGTATTTAAATTGCCTTCAGCATTCTCCAGCATAAGCACCTTGTACTGTATATATGTTTATATATAATACTTACTACTCTGATTATCTCCCTTCCCTATCTATGTTTATCTCCCTTCCCTAGCTCTAGATTATCCCCCTTCCCTACCTATGATTATCTCCTTTCCCTAGCTATGATTATCTCCCTTCCCTAGCTCTGATTATCTCTATTTCATCCCTTGCCTAGCTATGATTATATCCCTTCCTTAGCTCTGATTATCTACCTTCTCTAGCTATGATAGCCTCCCTTTCCTAGCTCAGACTGTCTCCCTTCCCTAGCTCTGATTCTCTCCCTTCCCTAGCTATGGTTATTGCCCTTCCTTAGCTTAGATAATCTCCTTTCCCTAGCTATGATAGCCTCCTTTTCCTAGCTCCGATTGTCTCCCTTCCCTAGCTCCGATTCTCTCCCTTCCCTAGCTATGATTCTCTCCCTTCCCTAGCTATGATAGCCTACTTTTCCAAATTCAGATTGTCTCCCTTCCCTAGCTCTGAATCTCTCCCTTCCATAGCTATGATTCTCTCCCTTCTCTAGATATGATAGCCTCCCTTTCCAAGCTCAGTCAGATTGTCTCTCTTCTCTAGCTATGATTCTCTCCCTTCCTTAGCTCTGATTATCCGAATTTCCTTACTCAGATTGTCTCCCTTTCCTAGCTCAGATTGTCTCCCTTCCCTAGCTATGATAGCCTCCCATTCCTAGCTTAGATTGTCTATATCCCTTCCATAGCTCAGATTGTATCCCTTCCCTAGCTCAGATTGTCCCCCTTCCCTAGCTATGATAGCCTCCCTTTCCTAGCTTAGATTGTCTATATCCCTTCCCTAGCTCAGATTGTCTCCCTTCCCTAGCTATGATAGCCTCCCATTCCTAGCTTAGATTGTCTATATCCCTTCCCTAGCTCAGATTGTATCCTTCCCTAGCTCAGATTGTCCCCCTTCCCTAGCTATGATAGCCTCCCTTTCCTAGCTTAGATTGTCTATATCCCTTCCCTAGCTCTGATTTTCTCCCTTCTCTAGCACAGATTGTCTCCCTTCCCTAGCTCTGATCATCTCCACTTCCTTACTATGAGTTCCCTCTAATATCTTGGCTTGCTATCATGTATGTTCATGTCCACTAGCTTTAATTATCACTACCATATATACAAAAATAGAACTAAAATGAAAAAGTTTCTGATTCAGTAACACAGACCAATGATGACAATTTTACTTTCAATATCATAGCTACTGACATGTAATCTGCTAGACAGAGCTGTGTGAACTTCAGTACCAGCTTACAGGACACAGGACTACTGCTCTGTCATCAAGGGAAAAACCAAAGCCACAGTGACTGAAGAGTCAACTCATTCACCCCTACATATTTAAACTGGACTTGCCCAGTCTTTGATTTGGTAGGGTTCAAATGTGACTTAAGGGGTGAATTGGTGAACTCAATATCCTGAAGTTGTGGGGAGGTTGCCAGAGGTTGCCAGGTAAAACGACATATAGCTGTGCATGTTACACTTCAGAATGCACCAAGTTCGATGAAGTAGTCAGCTTACACCATCAAGTACCACTCGACCGTCACTACAACAGCTGAGACCAGCATGGAGCCATAAAGTCTCTGTAGTGCATGCAACTAGAAATTAATTAAAAAGTCCAATGAATTGATCTAAATAAATTCTGAAATGATAGCTGGCTGTGTTAACTCATTCACCCCTGAAGACACATTTGAAGTATTCCAATTCCAAGGTTAGAATAGTTCATTTATATGAAATTTCAGGGGTGAATGAGTTTATGAACCTACTACACTACGTGCTAAAGGCAAGGACGAACAATCAGCCACAGCATAAGATAGCGTTCTATATTTCACGCGAATTACATTTGAGTTGTGGTATGTAACCTTACATAAGTAATAAAACATGTAGCTATCAAATATACGTAATATGTATATTTGAATTTCACATGTAGGAATTTCCAATTCTACATTTCCCCAGGAGTAACTCATTCACCCCTGAAGACACATTTGAACTCTTCCGTTCCAAAGGCTGGAATAGTTCATTATGAAATTTCAGGGATCAAAGAGTTAAAAGTTTGCTTTGTGTTGAACTTGAGTGAATATCGTCGTCCTTGATATGACCCGACATGAGATAGAGCTACAGGAATAATCCTTCATGAGACAGGCTCACAGTTACCTAGATTTATTTGGTCAGCGAAATGATTTAGAGAAGTGTTTTTATGTAGGATAACATTAAAATGTCTTTTATAAGTGATTTAATTATTAAAGAAACAGTATTGACATTTCAAGAATTTTCATTTTTTTTCCATTTTTTTCTCATAAAAACCCCATAAGTTATGTCTTAAAAAATCTTTTATCACCATTTTTGAATGTCAAAACATATAGGTTACCCCAGACACCAGTAGTCAAATACAAGGGGAGATAACTCTTGCAGTCCTACGAGTGATTCAATTGTTCAAATCACTAAGGTTAAAACTTACAAAGAATGAGGGGAAGTAACTCCTGTTGTGCTACGGTTGCCTGTGACCAATGCAAGCTGAAAGTCTGTCAACAAATTATCTAGGTAAGAACATTCAGTTTTTACATTAGCCGTAATCAATGGCTTTTTAACACATATAACTTATAACTTAGAAGGGTCGCAATCAATACTGCGGAGTCTGGCTTCCCAGTAACACAACATACATCCAAACCCTTGATGACTAACGAGTTATAACTGCTACAAGATCATGGATGAAATTAGTAATTACATAATTAATGTTCATTGTGAGTTGACATTTTCCATCGACCTTCACACAAAAGTATGGCCCTACACACTCAGCGTGCTGCCTATAGGTACCTGCACATACCCAAGGTAGCTTGATAAAAAGATAATTGTATTTTTTTTATAGTCCAATGAACAAGTCTTTACAAAATAGACCAAAAATGGAAAGGTTAAAATCAATATTGGTCAACAGATATGAAAGAGCATTATAATAAGATGTTCTGCTTAGCAAGCTTGAATGCGTCCAAAAAACTAATTATCTGGAAGCACAATACAAAATTCAAATACAATAATTACCTTATAAATCTTATAAACAGCACATTGTTGTTTTTTTTGTTGGGTTTATTTATTTTATTTTTTTTGGGGAGGGGGG